CGGTAGCACGCACACGTATGCACACGTATGTGTGTGTCTGTGTCCTCTCCGTGCCACTTCTCAGTCGTGAGGCGGAATCATGCGGTGCTTACTTACTTAAGACATCACCCGAGCCTCACGGGGAGACCGTGCATGAAGCGGGGGTCGCCGCCGCTGGGGTTATCTCACCGCGGAGCCTGTGCCCTCGGACAGACCGAGCATAAAATACAGCTTCATCTTAAAAACGTCCCTCTAAGCGTGCTGGTGAGGGCTGTTCGGGAAGGTCTTTTGTGCCAAGAGATCGTGGGGGTTTTTTGGTAGTGCTCAGACTGTGATTTTTAAAATTTTCTGAATTTCTTTTTTATAAAAAAGGGCTTTCACTTACAGCATTTTTAAGGTAAATGTTGCAGCAGGGAGCGTCTCTAGGACAGACGCAAGGTGAAAGCGGCCAGCTGCCCAGATGAAATGAATGACTGTGTCTGCATTGCCTGAGCTAAGCAAACATACAATGGGGAGACTGCCCATTTTTGGCATAAAAAGGTCTGAATAACAACCCCGGCACCAGGAAGATACGTAGAGCTGTTGGATCTTTCGAGATTTTATTTTCTATTTTTGCTGTGCTCTCGCCTTCTCATCCTTCCCCCCTTTTGCCTGTGCTGAGGAGCAGAGGTAAATCACAGCCCTGCTCTCTTGCCTGTCGCCAAGGTGCGGGGTCTCCCCCGGTCCTTTTGTGCAGGTGCCGTGACCTTCCAGGGATGCTGTGATGTAAAGAACTTTACTCCTCTCCCCACCTGAGATGGATGCCAAAGGGCAGTGTGCGCAGACCACGTTTCATGGTCTTGGCATGTATTTTGGGGCATATCCTGGAGGCTGGAAAGAATCCTGTCCCTGGGTCACGCTGGGCATATTCAAATATACTGGACCTGAGATTGAGTGCCCTGGGGCCCCTAGGCTGAACCCGTCGCGGGAGCCTTTGAGCTGCAGTTGGTTGTATAAGCTGGCTGGGTGCCAGGATCACCTATGGCGTGTTCAGTGCTGGTAGGGTATGGGGGGGTGGGGGTGGAGATGGGGGAACACATCTGTTCTGCAGATGAGAGCTGCAAAGTCATTCAGAAATGAGGGAGAGCTCATGAAAATGATTTAGCTGGCTTCCTCCCCCTCTCAGCTCTACATCCCACATCAATCCCCATCCCGTTTTCCTCGGTAGGAGCTGCAGGAGCCACTATGGCCATAAGGGGGTAAAAATCCTTTCTTTCCTTCTCGTTTCCCTGGTCTCCAGCTAAATAGCTGCCCACTCTCTCCCTCCCTCTTCCTCCCCTGCTCTCCCCACCGTGTCTGTAACGGTGGAGCTGTGTTTCACAACTGTTTCATAGCCCTTTTGGTATAAGGTTAGTTTACATGTGATAAATGACCGGCTTGATTATATCAGTGTAATTCCAGCAGCATAGGTATGCTGGTAAAATTCCTCATGTCGCTACTACAACTCTGGAAGAAGAGGGGTTTTTTTTCCTCTCTGCTGTTTCCTTTGCGCTCTCCCTCCTCCTCCTCTGCCCCTGTGTAACTTTGACAGTGACATAAGCTATCGTGGAGGAGAAAAATGCAACTCCAACCCCACATTCTTACTCTAGAAGCAGCATGTCCATATGGGGAGTGTTACCCGTCTAATTATACCAGCAGATCTCTGTTGGGAATTTTTCCTGCATAGACAAGTCTTAGGTCTTTTTGGTAGATTGTCTTCCAGCCAAGGAAGAAAATTGTGCCTTCCTGCCAAAACGCCAGATGAGAATATCTGACACTTTGGAATGGGCAAGACTTTTCCTTGCCTAAACTCTGGATTAGAAGACGTTTCTCATGGATCTTTTTTTTTTTTGGGGGGGGGGGGGGGGGGGGGAGGCAGGACCTGATTCCTCCCTGCCCCCAAAATGGTGCAGGTGGGCCAGCACTTCAGGATAACTTTTTCTTTTTTTTTTTTTTTTGGGGGGGGGGGGGGGGGGAAGGGATTGCCGCTGAATTCTCCAGCAGCTCAGAGTATCCTACCCTCAAAACATTAATTAGGAAAGCAGGCAGAGAGAGCCTTTAGCTGGGATGCAGAGGAGCCTGTCCCAAGCTCAGCAGCTGCCGGGGTTCAGTGAAAGCAGCAGGATATTTTGTGTCCAGGTTTTTTCCTTTCTAAACTTTGATTCCAGAAGGAAAAAGTTGGAGGGCTCCCTCTGCGGAGATCACTTTACTTCCCAAATGTGGGGAATCTGTCATCTTTGGCAGCTCCTCCCCATAGGAAGGTATGTCTGTAACCCTCTAGTTTCTACCCTTGGGAAAGGGAGGAGTTGGGGTGGCCACGTAAGCTGCCTGGCCTGATTCTGATGCCTCCCTCAGGAAACTAGGCCATGGCAGGACGGTGGTCTTTTACGAATCCGGGTGCCTGCGTGGGAATCTGCTGTTAATTCAGGAGAGATTTATACTGTTGGGATTCAAGGAGCTTTCCCAGCTTGGCCACACTCCCTCCCACGGTCCTGGCTCTCCCGTTCCTGCCGGCTGACCTTCAGTGCTGCTTTGCACGTGGAGGCAGCGGCGCGGGCGGCGGAGCGATGTGTCCTTCGGGCAGGTTCCCAGGAGGCGAGGGGATGGGGGCTGCGCGCCCTCCCACGTGCTTGGCACCCCCGGGGTCGAGCCCAGTCGGGTGCTCAGGCTTGGGCCTGACAAAGGGCTGTGCGCACCAGCGAGTACGCGGCTGTCATGATGGAGATGGAAACTGGTGATTCAGGGTTCAGTGACCTGTCTCATTAGGGTCAGTCCTGCCTGCTCCTTTCGTCATGCATGCCTGATCGGGCAGGCTGTCACTCAGCCAGGGCAAACAAGCGTGTGCAGAGGGAATGTTGTGTCACGGTTGCAGAAGGGAGCCGGGAGCCAGGCTGAGCCAACTCGCTGCTTAAAACTTCCTCTCTGCCTGCTGGTGGCCTTGGCTCAGCGGATTGTCTTCCCGTGCCTCAGTTTGCCTGTGGGTGGAAGGCATGAGAGAGGCTTAACAACAGCCGTGGGATAGGGTGTCTAACTGGGAAGCACACCACTTGGCTGTTTCCGTCTGCTGATGTCCAAGCGTGTTGGTCTTGCCATGTCCCAGCTTGGGAGGTGAAGCAGGGGTAGGTAAGGAGGCACCCCGGAGGAATCCCCCTGCGGATCCTCCTGGTGTTCCTCCAGTCATCCCTAGTGGGGTTACACAAAGAGGCAGGATGTCAGGAGAAGCCCAATGATTTATAATAAAACTGTGTTTCAGACCGTAATTTGCTCCCACCCCTTTGTTCATTCATACGATTTCCTTTATTGTTGTCTGCTTGTGCACAGGCCTAGACCACAAGCCCACCTAAAAACGCCTACTAATAAAACTGAAGGAAAATGAAAATCCTTGCAGCCTGCAAATGATCTCACCAATGCCACTAGTGGGAAAAAGACTGGCTTTCAAGTCTTTTACTTTACTTTTTTCACCTTGTTCACCATTCACTTCCTCTCCTCAGAAAGATCAGGACCCTCCCTCTCAGGCCATGACTCTGTGGGGCAATTCTTGGTGCCAAGGGCTCAGCTGAAAGAAGTTTTCCTGCCAGGGGAACTGCAGGCTGCAAGTGTCGGTACTGCCAGCCTAGCTGTTTGTGTTTCAATTCCCTGCATTGGTAACCACCACATTCTTTTTTGTTTTTCCCTTTTTCCTTTCTTGAAAATGTCCATTGCCGCCTCTCCAAGGAGTTCTCCTCCGCTTCCAGCACCACCACTGTTGGCACCATCACCTCCCGGGTGACCAGGAATGGGGATGCCGTCATGGAGAAGGACTTACTCAATCACGAGGACTTGGCAGGAGACCGGGGCATGGTAGATGATCTCTTTGATGAGACCTACCGGGAGAAGGAGGGCCCCAAGCCCCCCTTGAGATACGTCTGGAGGAATATCATCCTCATGAGCCTGCTGCATCTAGGGGCCATAGTCGGGTTGGTGCTGATACCTTCTGCAAAGATCCAGACGTTGGCATGGGGTAAGTGCGTTCCTCCGCTTGTTTCTTGGCATCTGCAAACCTGTTTGTTGGGTGGTATTTTTTTTGCTCCAGGCCCACAGACTCGGGGAGGAGAAAGAAGGAAATGGAGGTCTACTGTTAGAAGAAGCTACTCAGCCAACTTCATAGCAAGCTGTGGGAGGGCTTGCTAGTGTCTCTTGTAAGGTCATGCACAAGAGGGAAGGATTTGGCAGGGGACTGCTTGACTGCTTAAAGAGCAAACTTAATTCACAGGCATTCGGCTTGGAAGTAGCCCACAACTGAACGTGCAGCTGCTTCTGGGGTGAAGTACAGAAAATGTTTGGTGGAGTATTGTGATGCTCCCAGGAAGTTAGGAAGAAAGGTGCTAGCAAGAGCACTTTAAGGTGTGGCTGGGGAGGCAAGGTACAGGGCATTATTTAGCATGAGGCTGCTGTCCAAAGACAAGAACCATTCCTGTACTTAGCAAAGGAGGATAAATCCTGCAGAGCCTCCGTGTGTGTGAGAGGAAAGAGGTAAAATACAGCTGTGCTGAAGATAAAAGTCAAAGAGTTAAGTCTGAAGCTCAGGTCTTTTATCGTTCTTACAAAAGCACAGATTAGCCCCCATCATCCCGGAACTGAGCCTGACAACTTTCAAAAAATAAATAAGCATCTCTCCAGGCAGCAAATTCCAATGGAAAGCACAACCCAGCAGAAGGTAGCTAAGCGAAGCTCCCCTTTCTCAGAGACCTTGCCCTGGGTAGGAACCAAACTTCTCCTTTGACTGCTTGAAAGGCAGCTGGGCCCAGGGCCCAGGCTGCAGGGGAGCCTTGCTTTCCACAAGCCTTTGTGCGGACCCCTGAGGAGTCAAGAAGCCAAACGGCTCCCAGTGGGGAGATTGAGAGATTGCATCCAGCCCCTGCCTTCCTGTGAAACAGAGCATCCTGAAACGAAAGCGACAGTTTAATTTGAGACCTGCTGGTGTGGCTTTTGGTTTCAGTTGGTGCTCCTGCAAAGTGCTCAGCCGGCAGCAGGGTCCTGGCCAGCCCAAACAGGCCCTGGAGAGACCCACCTGGTCTGTCACATTCTCAGAGTCTGGCCTCCTAATGGCTGTGAGCAACAACCATCACAGCTGGACTGGGAAGGAGATGGCTCCCTGGATGGCCAGACTGACTCTTCCCCTCCTGGACCACCTCAGCTTCTCACAGGCAGAGGCCTGGGGGATGAGCATCACTGGAGGCCACAGGACTTGGTCAGAGGCTGGCTATAACCTCTGCAAAAGCAGAGGCACCGTCGTGTTCCCTGCACAGCCAGCGTGGCCTTTCAGGGGGCCGTTATGAAAGAGCTTGCTGGGCCTTTCCCTTGTGAAAACCTGACGGGCTGTGCTTTTCCCCGGGGTGGCAGGGCCGGGCAGAACATGCAGCCTCAGCACGACCTTGGAGGAGCGTTTCAGGGCTCTCGGTCCTGCTCTGTGTGTCCCATCCTGGGGCTCTCAGCTGGAGGCTCGGCAGGGGCTGCTGGCTTCCCTCACACGCTGAACTGACAGCCTGGGTCCTCCAGCCCCAGCCAAATAGCCTCAGTGCACTGGGGCAAGGAGGAGGGAAAAGGTAAGTTGGGTTTGCCGGTTTCATTTCAATCTGCTGAGATGCACTGTGGTTTCCAAATCCATCCAACCCTTCTCCCTTCAGCTCCCCCGAGATACTTAAGTGGGCTCGAGCATCTTGATCCAGAAGGTTAATACTGCTTTGCATTCTGCAAAGCCCCACCTTACCCCAAATGGTCTCTTTGCAACCGCGTGCCTGTTCAGGATGTCTGTATGGCATCCCATGGCATTTCACGGGAATCTGCCTTGCTTTTTACTTGATGCCAGTCCTGCCTGCTCCCCTCCCTCAGTCAGCTCTGATGTGCTCAGTTGCTCTCCTGCCACTGTGAGGCACTGCAAGATTCCTCCGTGGCTTCTGGAGTGACGGACACTCTGGGAATGGGAGAAGGACACGGAGTCTGGGGGAATTGCATTGTTTTGGACTGGCTGAAGATCCATCCTGCCTTACCAAAGCTGGAGTAGTTCCACAGAGCTCCCTGTCCTGCATCCCTTGCACTTCTTCTGGGAAAGGACCACCCTTCCCTGCACCCTGCAGGCAAGTCAGAGCTTTCCCCTACATTCCATTCTTCTCCAGTGCTGACCGGAGCTGGGATGCTCTGATCCTCCACAGGTCTGGCTTCTCAGCAAGGCTCCTTGCTCCTTCTTGCATTGCCCTGTTCTCAGTTCATACCTTTCTCATCTCAGCGACTTGCTGTTACTTTCCCAGCACCCCCTTGTAGCAAAGAGTGGACTACGGTTCCCATTTTACACACAAGGATAGAGCAGCAGAGACTTACGTCTCTTACTATTGCTCCCGGCAATACACCATGGCAGAGCAGCTCTCCCAGTGGTAGTTCTGGAGCTGCTGGAGGTTTTGCTCATTTCTTTGTTTGTTTTTCAGATCATTCCTTCCTTAGGCTATGTACATATAATATAAAATTGATATGGCCCCAGATGTCCTCTGCTGTGATGCTACAGGCAGCTGTGGTGCCTGGTAGCTGATCTACCTTCTGTATTTTATTATAAGGAGCAATCGCCTGCTTATACCCTCTTCATCCAGGCCACTGTCTCCTTGATGTTCCTGTTCCTCTGAAACCAGTTATATTGGTGACTGTGTCCTCTTTTGTTTTCATTCCTCTGTGTGCTAATTCCCCTTTGTCTCTCAAGCTCTCCAGCCCTGCCTTCATCATTGTTTGCTGTTCTGCATTGCTGTGTGCATTGTATCCCCTGATCTCTTTCTGGTACAGAGCTTCCCAGAACGAGCTGGGGTTGTTGATCAGGTGAGAGTTTGCCATAACGAGAGCTCTCCAAGCCCTTCCAGCACTAAGGCTTTCTAGCCAGCTCCCCTTTTATTTACTGTCTTCTCCACTGCGCTGACAAAGTCTTGCGCAGTCTTTTTAGGGATCGTGGGCAGATTTCACTGCACTTGCCAAACGGCATAGAGATTGAGTCTGGAAGACCAGGATGCAACGGTGATTGACAGTTTCTTCTCCAGCTGCTCTGAGCCGCCCCAAAAACGTGATTTGCAGGTTGTCTTCCTGGCCCTTGGGTGCAGCAGACTGATGATGTTTGTATTAACCCCTGTTGGCCTGGCCAGCAATGTCTACAAAACAGTGATGGTTCCTCTCGACGTGGTGCTCTGACAATATGCTAGCTCACTGCAGTGCCAGCAATGTGGGTTGTTACCATTTTTTGCTGCTGCTGCTTTGCATGAAGTTCAATCTTGCTGGGTAATTTAGGCAACTCTGACAGCCTGGAAATCTCAGCCAGTACTACCCCCAGGGATGTGTCCAGCAAAATGTTTACAGAAGCTTTTTTGTTACTTTCGCATCATGACTACTGCTGGCAACACCTCCCCACTTAGTGTCCTCTCCGGGCTTAACTAGCAGCTGGTGTGCTTCTCCTCTGAGCGTGGAGCGGAACTTCTGATTTTGCCAGATGGGGAAGTAAGGTTTTAGCAACAGTAGCTCCTATTGCTCCTCCTGAACACTGTTCCCTTTGTGCAGCCTGCACACGTTTCCTTGCTCTTGGTATCTTTCTCCTGAGAGTAGCATGACTCTCCTGGCGAGCAGGGGCTGGGAGGCAAGGAGGGAGCAGTCTCAAGATGTAGTTTTCCCTGGCACCGAGTGGAAGCTCAAGGACACCTGCTGGAGCAGGGACACCTCTTCATGTAAACATCCTTGGTGTTGACTGCAGGTGACAATGCCTTTGGCACATTCCTAGCTTCCCATCATGACTTGAGATCTGAATCTGGGCCCTGAAGAGGCAAAGGCTAGTGAGTCATATAGACATGACTGAATCTGGAATGCTTTGCATTTAATTTTTGGAGCACTGAGTGCATATTACTGCCAGTGGTCATAATTCTTTGTGTTCCAGTTGAATGGGTCATTGGGAATATCACCTGTGAGTTGACAATCTTTTGGATCTTGGATACTTCAAAGCACGGTGTGGAAGATGACTTTGAAACCTCGGCTGACAGAGTCCCTAAGCCCTTCAGTTTGAGGCAGCTTTGCAAGGCACCTGTGAAAATCTGTGCTACTTTATTTCACCTTCTCTATTCTCTTTCCAATTTCATTCCTAGTGGATGGTCTCGGAGGAGATTTTCTTGTTCCTTCCCTGAGATGCTCATTCCCTGGCTATGCAATGATCATCATTGTACCTGTTTGCAGGATGAACCCTCTGAATCATTAGGGTGCTGGATTCTTCTGTTTTCCACCAGGCCTTTCAACCTTACTGTCCATATCCTGTCATTGTCACAACAACTTGTATGTATAGCTGATGGAGCTAATAGCCCCCAAGTAGGGTTTGGGTTTCTGCGGGGTTGGATGCCGTGTATGCATAGACTGAGAATCGGCTCCTTTCCCACAGAAAGTGTCTGCTCCTTAGGTAAACTATGTCTGCTGCATATGGCAAGGCAGCATGGGATTATAATTAGAGAGTCAGTCATGTCCATTGTAGTGACCTGGACACAGGTCCAAGAGAAATCAACACGAGCTGCTGAGGTTCATGGGCTTTGGATGAAGGCCGTGACTCTTCTATACCCCACCCAAAAGCAGTGGGTACTCTTCCAAATTTTTAACAAAAGCTTTCAGTCAAGGCTACCCAAAAGTGCTGGGTTGTCTGGTTTCTGGGTCTGTCAGTGTCCCCACCATGTCTCTTTTGTGATTCCTTGTGCTTGCTGATACGTCTTCATTGCTGATGTCATCTTTTCCCAAGGGGGAAATTTGTCCATGAGCAAATTCTGAGAATTGCCTGTATAAAAGAGATACAGATGAGCTTCCTTCCTGCAAAGCTTAAATACCAAGTCCTCAGCCAGAATCAGCCTCCTGGAGGCCTCTTTTACCAAAAAATTCTGAGTCAGCATGTGAGGCTTCACTAGAGAAGAAAGCCTGAACTCAGGGCTATAAAGAGGGCCTGTACTCTAAATGCCCAACCTGGCATTTACTTTCTAGTGCCACTGAAAATCATGAAAGATTGCAAAGTTCATCTTGTGCCCAGTGCACTGTTAACTCATGCCTACTTGCCCCACAGTGGAGAGCTGGCCTCTTTCCCCAGCAGTTTGCCCCCTACATCCATTGCAAGCTGATGTTGTTTTCCACAGATGCCCCGTCTGGTGTTTCTGATAGTCTGTATAGGTTGGTGGTTAAATCCAGACTCCTGGATGCTGCTCTCAGCTCTGCCATAAACTACTTGTCAAATCTTGGACATCTAATTCAGCTACTGAGGTGTGCACTGTAGGTGTAAAGTTGCCCAGCGGTTTTATGAAATGCTGTGTGCAGGGTATAGCAGCTTATGTCGAAGGGAGAGTGGTGGTGAGTCACCCTTCTGCCATTGGTAGGAAGCCTCTGAAGCATCCAGGAGCGGGTTTTGTTGTTATTGCTGTGTCTGAGGGCAGAGAGGTTCTGCAAATAGGTCACATGCTAGGTAGTTTTTCAAGGTTTGCTCTTCTGTATGAATCTGTGGGGACAGTGACTGATTTAAAATGAGTCTTAAAATATAAACCGATGGGGAACTGGTCATGAACTGGTTCATAACTTTCAGGTCAGCATCATGGGGCTGGGTGAGACCTTCAAGGTGTCCAGCATAAGTACTTTCCTGTCAGTAAGGCCAAAGGGAGACCTGAACCAAACACCCTGCTCCAGCATTAGTCCTTTCTTCCCTTCCAGGTTTGGCCAGCTTTGTGAGCTTTGCTCAGCTCCATCGTCTCTTGCAAAGGCTGGATCCAGCTGCGCTTGCATGCATTTTCATCCCTTTTTGTGCCCTATAAATCAGCTATGACCAGTGGCTGCTTGGCTCCTCCAAGAGACTGCAGAGGTCCTGGGAGACACAAGGCAGAAGTGTGCTGGTCCAAGGCTTGCACTGCATTTGGCAGCAGGCGGGGAAGCCAAGGGAGAAGATGAAGGTGGGAAGTCATGGTCAGATCAGCAGACAGGGAAGGTCGCTATTACACAGCAGGATGGGAGTGAGGAGGGTTCATGCAAGTTTAAGGGGCCAGAAGAGGATGTTAAATCAGCCGAGACTGGCTTTTAGCGGATAAGAGATTAGTTTTGGAATGTAGAAAAACAAAAAGGAGGTGACAGAAGGAAGAGGGAGCAGGAAGTGATAAGAAATAAAGCCTGGATTATTTTGAATGAAACAACAGGGTGACAGGGCCTTGCCTGTGTCTCAGACCTCTGATTCCAGACAAGTTTCTGGCAGAGTATCTATTTTCTGGGTTCAAGATAAGCTTGATGAGAGCCATTTGGCTGAACTGAATGGTATTGTCAAGCATACCAGCAATTCCTATCCACAGGTTTACGTGTAAGAATAGTCTGGAGAAGAGGAGGCTGAGGGGAGACCTTATCACCTTCTACAACTCCCTGAAAGGAGGGTGTAGCGAGGTGGGGGTCAGCCTCTTCTCCCTGGTAATGGGCAATAGGATGAGGGGAAATGGTCTGAAGTTGTGCCAGGGCAGGTTTAGGTTGGACATTAGGAAAAATTTTTTCAATGAAAGGGTTGTCAAGCATTGGAACTGGCTGCCCAGGGAAGTGGTCGAGTCCCCATCCCTGGAGGTATTTAAAAGACAGGTAGACGAGGTGCTTAGGGTCATGGTTTAGCGGTGGGATGGAAGTGTTAGGTTAACGGTTGGACTTGATGATCTTAAAGGTATTTTCCAACCAAAATGATTCTATGATTCCAATAAGGAGCTGTTTTCATGATTGAACCAATTGGCTGAAATCTGCAAATTTATACCAAGGTTTTCCCTGGGAAACTGTGAAGGTGTCCCTTCCCCCAGGGGACTGAAGGTGGATCAGTTGACCTGTGCACAGATGCGCACCCTTCCCTCTCGGTGTCTGAGCTTACAGATCTTTTTCTAGCAAGCTTCTGCTCAGAAAGGGAGCAGAAGAGAAGCCTAACTCTAGGCTTGAGCTGTCGCCCTGAAGAACTGTAAGATCATCTACTACCTCTGGGTGAAAAGAATGCAGAAGAGATTTAGTGAGGAGTGGTGAGATAGGAAAGCAAGACCCTTGGTTATTTGGGATGGGAGGAAAGGGGGAAGCTGTTCCCTGGTGGACTGCAGAGCTGTTACCACAGGGCTACGTGGAAGCAGTTGCTTTATACAATTTTGACGATCCTGCGCCATGACAGATGGCACCATGCTGAAGAACCAATCCTTGTGACAAGCCTTGTAAGGGGGAGCCCCCTCCCTTGTCAGAGATGAAGAGCTGAAGTGATTTGCCCCACATTGCTCAGGAAGCCTGTGGTAGCTTGGGCACTCTCACGTTGATTTTTATTGCCCCAATCTCTGCTCTCCATAGGTTCCTCTCTTGCTTACACACCTCTGGGGGAAGGCCTGCCTTTGTGTTGCTCTGCCCAAAACTTTGCTGCAGGCTGACTTGCTCTAACTGCTCCAACACTTTCTTTTCCTCTCCAGCTGTTCTGTGTTTCCTGGTGAGTGCTCTGGGAATAACAGCTGGATCTCACCGCCTCTGGAGCCATCGGTCCTACAAAGCCACGCTGCCCCTGCGGATCTTCTTGACTATTGCAAACTCCGTGGCCTTCCAGGTAAGCACCTCCTCAATGTGCTCCCCTGAATCCCTGTCTCAGATACGGGGCACAAGCTGATGGAAGGGTTCCTCTCTCCTACTACCTCTTGTTAGGAAACAACCTGCCTTTCCCCTCTAACTCTGCAGTGCTAGAGTCCCTCTCATTGTCTTCACCTTGTCTCTGAGACGAACCAGGTGGGGAGAGGACTGTTGGCCAAGACCAGCGGTAGGAAGGCTCTCCA